TTAATCTAGATTAAAATGGGTCATTTGTTTTCTGCCAAAGGGTTTCATTAATCAGAATCAGAATTACTCTATTTACTTTAATAATCCCTTGTGGGAAGAAAATGAATTAAATAAGGATAAGAATAAAATAAGATAAGGGTAAGAATAAAATATGATAAGGATGTTATGTGTGTGCTACCTAAATAATAAGTGAAAGTAAGTCTTTGAACAGGTTTCTCTAATCAGATGGTGCATTAGACCAGGAGCTCATTTCCTGTTTCCAAAGTGCATCACATAATACCACTGAACCAACATTTTCATAAAGCGTCCCACTGGAGCAAGTGCAGCAAAATCGCTTCTGCTGCTTCATTTTTGCTGCAGAATACGCGATTTTGCTGCGCCTGCTGCGTCCGGTGTGAACGTAGCATAAGAGTAAAATCTGTACTGGCATATTTAGAATTATAAGAAAGGGTTGTTTATTTAATGGTATGCGAGTTTGTTTGTTTTTTGTTTTGTTTTATTATTCTTAATTTAAAATTTTGCCAGTCGTTCACACACCTTTCCAGTAGGTGGCGGTAATTTACCTTTAGAGTTGTTTGCCAATCGCCAATAAACCAGAGAAGAAAGGAGAGGAAGCCTGCATTCAAGTTGCATTTGGGGTGTGTTGGAAAAACGGAATACCTTAAATGAACCAAGTTACCCTGTAGACCCAGAGACTGGTTTCAGGAAACTCCGAGCTCCCGTAATTAGACATTTTAGTAAATATTTTGTCAGTTTAAATACCAGAAAGGTATTATTTACTTATATACACCGTCAGGGGTTAAAAAAACAAGGAGCACTTCATCTGAGCGTTACGGTAAAGCTTTTTTGTTGTTCAAGAACTTGTTAATACAATAAATAAATACAGCATCTGTGTTGCTTTAAGGACTACCATGTTGCTTATATGAAAAAAATTAAACTAGGTAATTTGGATCAAGTGTAGCATCTTTATTGGCGCTCCGTTTGACGCTCCATTGAAAAGGAGGAGGAGGGCATCTGGAAGCGCGGTGTCTGCAGCATAATTAAAACATGGCGGACTCGGAGGAATTTAGACTTAAACGTTTAAAGGTAAGAAACTAGAAACGAAGACGATAAATGCTCCCGGTGGCCTGATGAAAGCTAAACAAGGCTTCCTTTTCGGCTTTTTAGTTGTAGCCCAGAAAGCTTCCGGGTGGAGATTAGCAGTTGGAGCTAGCATCAGTTAGCTTGCTACTTGGTGGCTCTGCTTAGCATCCTGTTTCAGGGAGAGAAAAAAACGTTAAAGGGTTACAGAAATAAAGAATTCTCCCAATTTTACTGATATTTCCATAAACCTTTAGAGCTTTCGCTGAGATATACATGCAGGTTATGTTGCTGTTTTGTCCTGTTCTCGCGTGGCCCTCCACTGCTGTGAACAATAAATAATACAGATTGTATTGATTTTATACAATTTCTTCCCAATAACAATAAGCCTTAAAGTTTCCTCCTTACAAATATTTTGACAAAATGTTGTGTACTGGTTAATTATTGGTTTAATAATAAAATGTAAATGTGACAACATTGCTTATTGTTAATAGTTTCTCTTTAACATCTTTGGACATATCAGGGCCTGGAACCATTGAGGAGCATTGGGCCCCACCACAGCTTGGGAGCCAATATTGTATATGAAGGCTCTCCCAGGGTTAAGATTATCTTCTATGAAACTGGGTTTTTACAACATGCTGCTAAATGGAGCATTGTCCAATCTGACCCAAACCCAGCTTTAAAAATAGTACAAAAATCCTCAATTTTGGTTAAAGTAAGACCATTGGTAAGCCCAGTCTAAAAGCTTTGTAAAGCAGTGTAAAATCAGCTTTGATTAATGTATGGATTTCATTGTAATAAAAGCTGAACATGTTAGCAGAGGCGTAGCCAGAAATATTATTAAGGGTGGCCAGGCAATAACCAATGTACACTGAGGGGTGGCCGAAAGTGGATGGGGCGATGATTAAGTAAGGGTGGCCATCTAGCTCCATCCCTGCATGCTAGATTTTGGCTTTTTATTTCAAATGCAGTCCAAAACATATTCTCAGGTAGTTGTTAATCATTATCCTCCCCCTTTGTGATTAACACTATGGATCAAAACCCCACAGTACTACGCTTCCTCATCCATTACATGATAGTGTGTAGTGTTATTGGTCCTTAAAGTATTTCCATGCCTATTCCTACTATATCTCTTCAGATTGTGGCTGACCATAAAGAGCCCCTCGTTGAAATAGGGCTGAAACAATGAATCTTGATTAATCGATTATTGAAATCATCGTCAACTAATCTAGTACTCGATTAATCATTAAATGGAGTATGGAGACTTTAAAACATGCCTTTAGTTGACAGAGCAACCTACTAATAGCAATAAATATACCAAAATTGAAAACAAAATAAAATGGATATAAACATTTTTTATTTAAGAAAAAAATGGGTTTTTGCCAATGTGCTCTATCAAGAACTCCTTGAGTGGAAATGTTTTAGTTGCACCTGGTTTATTTTGTAAAAACATCTTTAAGGAACCTTTTGGCTATCCAATTATTAATTGAAGGCATTTGGCTTTTTCCTGTGGACTGATCCTAATTTCTTTGTTGCACAAAATATTTTGTTCAGACACTCACACCTGTAAGGTTGGGTCTTTTGGCTTTGTTTTGAGGCTTATTTAAGGGACACCCGAGACTCCTTTTAGAGCAAGATGTCTGAAAGAGAGTGAGGCCAAGGTTAATCTTCCTTTTGATTGTGGAAACTGCATGTATCATGTTTTGCAAAAACTGTATGTAAAAGCCCTTCTAGTCCTTCATGTGTTTTTAATCTGGTTAATAAAATTTGGGTCTAGTTAGAACAGGATAAATCATCCAGAGCGATCCATTTTAGGGCTGAAACTCATGATTATTTTGCAAATAGATTAATCTATCGATAATTCTTTTCTATGAATCGATTAATAATCGGAGAGCCAATAATTCCTTAAAGAAGGTATTTTACACACACGCATATATGTATGTTTATATAGCCTTTTATGTGCTAAATATTTTGCTCTCTCTCAGCTTGAATGAACCACAAGCCTAACTCGTTAGTTTTTAACTGCTTTCCACAGAGATGTCACCGACAGTAAAGAGATGCTGGTGAGACCTGAAATGGTTAATTTATAGCTGATCAATAAAGCAAAATCTATATCTACTCTAGGTGTCTGCAACCTTTACAATCCAAATATCCATTTTTGACTTCAGTCCAGCCAAAAAAAATGTTCAGAGCCACAAACATTACATTAGCTTTTTTTTTTTTTTTTTAAACAAAATATTAAATATTTCTATATTAAGTAAATATCTACCAAATGAAAGTAAGAAAATATATAATGAATCTTCCATGGGTTGCTGAAATTTTAGGAAAATAATGTAAAGAAAAAAAAACATTTCCAACTTCAAAACAAAATGAAAAATATATTTGTCATATTTAGTCATTTCATTTTAGCAAATTCAATGCAATTAGAAAGCAACTGAAGAAAAAGCTAACCAGCATTTTGTAGTGTATATATTCTTCATTATAATAGCTGGCTCCACGTCATTTATAGATGGTGATGAAGATCGATTGATTGTCTGAAGAGCCGCTTTCATGCTTCTGAGCCACAGGTTCCAGACCGTTGATCAGGTCACTAATGACTGGTTAGCTTAAAATCCAGTCAGATGGCTGTTTCCTAACACAAATCCTTTTCAATATGAGAAAGTAAACCTGAAAACTTCCGTCTACTATGATTTACCAACAAGAATTTAAAAGATGTCTATCTCCTTAAATTTTATTAGAATCAGTTTTGATTTGTGACTTTAATTTTGGTCAGATTAGAGAAGATCTACTGAAAACTTTTGCTATAAAGTTATAGACACAAAGGCAGTGCTTCACTTTGGATCCATTTTTAATGAAAAAAAATACTTTTTTTAGACATTTTGCTAATTTTGTTTTGCACCTTATTTTCTGGAAGCAGACCTAACCGACGTATTTTTCTGTGTCCAGCATGAGGAGCAGATGTCCCGGATGTTCGATGAAGTGATGGGGCTGGGAGAGTTTGCAGACTCCTCCAGGGGCTCTGTGGCTTCTTCCAAGAGTGGCGGTCAAACAGAATCCAAAGGCCCAGAAGAAACTATAGGACAAGGGGAAAACCAGCAAGTTGAAGAAGATAGCAATTCAAGCAGACAGGAGAAAAAGACAGAGGGGACGGAAGAGACAAGTCTTCCGCCCATAGCTGCATCCTCTTCTAAAAAACCCTCATTTAATATAGTAAGGAGTGAAAGAGGAGGTGGGGGGAGTGGTGGAGCGGCCTTTGATGATGCACTGGACGGCCTCCCCTCCTATGGACCTGAGGAGGAGGATGAGGACTGGCACTATGCCCTGCCAATGGGCTCTCTGGAGGATGTTGATGTGGGTAAGGCCAGCAAAATAAGTAAAGTTGGACAGGAGAACAGTGCTTCCGGGGTCGCCCCGTTAGCTGGAAAAGCTGTAGCTGAAGAGGAAGATCAACAGAATGATGGGAGCGCTGAATCTGCAAACACCTCCCACTCCTCCCAGGACCACACCCAGGACAACAGCAGAGGTAAAAAGATCGAACGAAGGTCAATAAAAGGAGGTTGTTAGAATCTGTCAAAAGATTTTAAGATCAGGAGTGTTTTGTGAAGGAGGCTTTTACCACTTTCCCACTGGCTGAAAAGTGGCAGTGGGAAAAACCCACCCGTGTCTACCTGCATAAAACCACTCGGCAAGCGACGCATGTTAAAATTTTTAGGGACATACACGGCACTGTCCAACTATAGTCCAACTCATATTCTCATAGCCAAAAATATAGTTAAAGACTAAGAAACAGAATTAAAATAAGCTGCTTTAATTTGAGCAATGATAACATAAGACTATTAATACAATCTACATTTGGTTGCTGATTTGGATATTGCCTCAAATTCTTTCCCTTTTTTTTTTGTCCTGCTGTTGCTGGAGCCCTGACTCTCCTTCACATTGCAGATGCTGCATCCTACCCCTGTTACATCCTTTGTGAGGTTGATCCACACCTGATAAGCCCCCTCTACCTGTGAAATGAATACATATACATTTAGTTTGTTTTGCTAATTAGATTTAAATCGTACAGATGCGCATTTGAAAATTAAAACGAGGCTGCATACAGCTTAAGGTGAAAACACAGTGCCTAATGAGAGGTGTTTTGTATCTGATTCATTTTTTAAAAATCATGCACAAAACACCTCAGAAATATAAGTTTCTCTTAATTATAAGCAACTGAACAGTTCCTTTCTCCACTGAACACAAGGGACTAAACTAGATTTAAATAGAAATGATGCAGCTTTAAAACTTGTAAGCAGGATTACAGCAAAATATATAAGTTGGAGCCTTTTAAAAATTAGTTCTACTTCTGATACAGCCTGCATGAAGTGCAGTGTGACACAGTATGATAATCTTATTTTCCTTTTAAAAGGAAGAACTTACACAGCTAAAACTCGTGTGCTCTCCTTAAAAGTGTAGTGGGGGATTTTCGTGAATTTTTTAAAAGACCGGCCCTCTCCATTTAATAAAAATAAATAAAAAGGCACATGCATAACCCTGTACCCACTCCTGAGAGGGAACGCCTATTAAACGCGTGCGAGAGCGTGCACAAGCCCAATAAATAACCTTATCTTCCCTGGAAAGTTACAATATAGAAATAGATCATTTTTACTAGCAGTGAAGTGAAATGGATTTCTCTATATAGCATCCCAAACTTTACCCGTCGAGTAGAAACTTCCCAACCGCTGAGAAGCCAACGCCGTGCTTTCAGTGTACGCCATCAAGTAAAAGAATGTCCCAGAAACACTCTGGCCTTTCTCTTCTTCTCATACACTTCATAGGCACTTTTTATCTTACAACCCTTTTTCAAAGAACCGCTGTGAGAAAGACAAGCTTCAATGACTGGTTGAAACCGTAGCTCACCGCATATATGACTGAAAGTGCGCATGCGCAGAAAAAGATAACTCACTGGGAACGAGCATGTAGGACAGCCTTACGTAAACGTATCACCAGAATGATTGATAATTAGGAGGAACTCTTATTTTGAAGATCCACCTGGAAAATGAAAATCCTCCACTACACCTTTAGTGCGCCCTCATACCGTTTTTCCATGGGAACGTTTATTGTTGTGGGGCACTAAATTGTGGTTTTACAAAATCACAGCTTAACATGAAGTAAACCCATATAAAACATATTTTCTCCCTCCATCCAACTCTGTTCTTACACTAGAAGCATCTGTGTGAGTGTATGTGTTTGCGAGCAGGGCTGGTGCAGAGGGGCCCCACCGAGTTGAGGGGCAGAGGAGCAGAATAGATGCCCTGCCCAAGTTTGTTTCCGCTTTTTACAGCAAAAATAACATTTTTATATAAAATTTGCCCACTGGTTTATTGGTGGGGCTCTAAAAAAAACAATAAATTTCCATTCAGAAGGAAATTTCTTGGGATTGTGAATAATTTTGTTTTTAACTTTGTGTCTGGGTAGTGTTGGATCTTCCATGTTGGGGTATAGCTAGCTACTGTAGAAGTATTGTGAATTCTTCTATGAATAATAGACATTTTCTTGTTTTTGTTTTGCCCCTATTTCCACTGATCACCAATGTACTCATAATTACTAAAAAATATTTTTGCCTGTGGACATCTCTTATGATGTTTGCTGTAGTATAAAAGTGAGCTCTATTGTCACCTTGTTAACTCACATTCTTTCCTTAGTGTTAGATGACCAAAACCAGGCAGAGGAGACCCAAGACAGTCAGCAGGAAGAGGTGAGGATCTAAACAGCATATGAAATGGTGTAAAGCTCAAACTGCTTCCAGATATTCATAAACTCTGTTTCAGACAACAGAAAATGCTAATCCCGGGGCTCGTAATCCCCCGTCTCCCAAGACGACCATTAAAGATGAGCCAATCGATGAAGGCTACGATGCTGCTTTGCTTCCTCAGACCTCCAGTAAGCAAATCAAGGAGGAGCTGGAACAAGAGGTAGGAATTTATTTTAAATTCTGATCTAAACATAATTTTCTCTACATATAATCTACTTGTTTTCTTTTCTTTTTTTCAATCTAAACAAAATTCTAAGCTATTAAGTACACTGTGATTCAACAGCTTGTGATTCCTTTCTGACTTTATTAGCATCAGATGATCACAAGTTTTGTAAACTTCTTAGGATCATGCAGTTTGGCAGATATGTTGCACTGCAAAGCTGTAAGGGATTCAACTCACACTTTCAATCAGGTTGAGATTTAGACTTGGAAGAGTACATTGTGAATAAACCCCCATCATTTTACTGTTAAGGGCAGTTTGCATGTTTTAAACTTGATTTATTGTTGTTGATGGTGTAAACCTAAGTCCCATACATTAGAGACTTGATATCTATTCATCAATAATGTTCCTCACCATAGAATCAAATTTAGATTTAAGTCAACATCTCTGTTCTTGAGGCCGGAGCTCATATTTAATTGCATTTTAAAGTAGAGCCATAGCATAAATTTTTTGTATCTGTTGTGTAATGCTACCTTTTTTCCCCCTTTGACTTCCTAGGAAATAAGACTTGTATTTGGATTAGATTCAAAGTAAAAAGGAAAGCATTTAAATGACAGAAAGAGAGGGAAGATTTATATTTGTTGACGTTTTCAGTGATCGGTCCCTATAGCAACAAATATTGTCAAAGTATTCTCTCACCTGCTTTGACTCGCATTTGATCTTAACTGACGAGGCTCTAATTCATCCCAAAGGTTTTCTATTGAGTTAAGGTCAGGACTCTTTGCAGACCAGTCAAGTTCATTCACACCAGACTTTGCCATCCATGTCTAAAATTCTAGTATTGCAATCCTTAAAAGCTCAGAAAAATTGTTAGAGGGGGCTTTTTTCAGTAGCGCAGTGATTAATGCGCATGACCCATGTACAGAGGCCCTAATCACTACTGTTCTGGGTGCTAATAACATTTTCAAGGAGCTTCAGCAGCAGTACCGTTGTCACAAATATCATATTTATAGTCTCCACACTGCAGAGATATTGGAATCTGTGCTTAAATGTCAGCCAAACCCATTTGCACAGGGACAAATAAAACCTTTCAATAAACCAAACATTACCCACCACATATCTGACTCAATAACCATGAAAAAAAACTATTTTCATTAATTTGAGACGGAACTATTCACAATCTTGTAATATATTAAACTGCACTTACAATATTCGCCACTCGACTCACAATGAATGACGGGCTACCCAAGGCAACGGAGAAGACACTAGACCTGTCCTTCAAAACGGGCAAAAAAGAAGGATGCATTTGTCAGGCTCATACCATCTTCCAATCTGGGCAGGCCATGGTGCCGCACTATAACGTAATCAGCTCATCGAATCTGGCCTTCTGAAGAAAGATGCTGAATTTGAACTCAGCTTGTTGAAGAACCACCCACATAGAAGTTAGCAGTGGGATGAGTATGCTAAAAAAAAGCTTTTTTTGTCAAATATTTCAAAGATAGGCATTCTTTTTCAACTTAGAAATATGTCAGAGGCTTTAATAAACATTCTAAAGTAATATGAAGGAAATCAAATCTCACGAGGGTCAAATTATTTTCTAAAACATGTTACCAAATGGTTGATTTATCCATTTATAATAAAGGCAGAGATAAAAAACACAATGTAGTTGGAAAATTATTTCTAAAG